ACTAAAAGGACCTGAACAGAAGTTTCAGAGTCTGAAATATGAATGGTCAATAAACATATGAGAAAATGTTCCCGATCATTAGCCATAAGAGAAATGCAAATCAAAACAACTATGAGATACCACCTAACACCATCAAAGATAGCCCAATTCAAAAAATCAGAAAGCAACAAGTGTTGGAGGGGCTGTGGTGCGATAGGAACTCTCATCCACTGCTGATGGATCTGTAGGTATGTACAGCTTCTATGAAAATCCATTTGGTGATTTCTAAAACAGAAGGAAATTGAGCTACCATATGACCCAGCAATCCCCCTACTGGGCATATACCCAGAAGGGGCAAGAAACAAACCACGGCCAGATATCTGTGCTCCAATGTTCATTGAGGCTAAGTTCACTATCGCAAGGAGTTGGAAACAACCCAAATTTCCACCAACAAACGAATGGATTAAAAAACCGTGGTACATACATACAATGGAGTACAGTGAACCCTCACCACTTCGCGCTTCGACTTCCGCGGCTTCACTCTATCGCGGTTTTTGGGTAACAGCGCATGCTCTGTCATTACTGCCACTGATTGGCTCATACTGTACACGCTTAATGCCATAAATAATATAATAAATAATAAATGATAATTGTAACGTCCAAAATGTTTTACTGTATTTTCCCTTTTTCGTTTAATAAATTGGGTAATATGAGTGTAATGGTGACTAAAGGGTGTTTTTTCATGTCCTCTATGCTCTAACTACGAAAATATTTGATTTACAAATAAGGAATCCTACTTCGCGGAATTTCATTTATCACGGTAGGGTCTAGAACTGATTAACCGTGATAAATGAGGGTTCACTGTACTATGCATCGCTAAAAAGCAGTGATGAACGCATGAAACATGTCGCCGGGAAGAACTGGAGGAAATTATGCTAAGTGAAGTAAGCCAAGCACAAAAGGACAAGTGTAACATGAGTCCGCTGAGGTAGGTTTATATATAAAAAAAAGAAAGAACAGAAAAATAAATGCAAAAGGGACACAGGGAAAAAGCTGCTGTATACAAACACTCCAGGGGTGAGGTCCAAGTAGTATCACAGGGGCCAGACCAACTCCAGGGGTACATATGGTAGACAACTAAAAAGGGGGCGGGGAGGGAGGAAAAGGGAAAGAAAAAAAAAGATGCGTGTCAGGAGAACAGGGCACTAATCCACCCAAGGGGAGGGTATTGTTTGTGTCTCCACAGGGAAAGAGGAACCAGACTTAAAGCCAGTGCTAGACGAATGCAGTGTGCCAGCAAGGAGTGGCGAGCCAGTGGAGGGGCCTGAGGGTTCGGCCCCCATACCAGCTACGTGGACAACTGCCCCTCCCCTCAGAAGAATTTTCTTTAGAAGACGGCACTGTAGCTGCAGCTAGGGGAGAGGGGCATGTCTTGTCAGAGCACATGGGAGCAAATGAAGGGGGAGGAAGAGAGGGTGGCGCATATCCTGGTCCACCAGGCCTAGAGGACGATATCCCTGCTCTGAATAGCCAATGCACACAGTGGACCATATGGCTGATCCCACTATGAGACAAGCTGTCCATTGTAAATAATAAAATCCTAACCCAGAAGAGGAAAGGTATTAGAACTTAAGTTCTGAACACCTGGTTTGCAGAAGGTTGTGGATAACAGTGAAAGTCCAAAATCCATTTGCAGGCTTCCCCATGCAGACTACACCTCTGGTGAATTCCCTTTGACTATGGACCAGAGATGGGAAGGGCTTTGTTACCAGACAGAATAGATTTCTGGGTGGATTGCTGCAATTTTAATAAGGTCAAAATATGACACCCTGTTATTCATTGACCCACACACACACTTTACACAATGTATAATTGTTCGAGTTTTGAATATCTTCTACCTTGTTTTTCATTTAGATTTTTCTTTGTTTCATTGAATCATTGCTGTTTGGCCATTTGCCTTTATTGTGCTTTGATTTTATTTATATGAAACCCAGATTAGGTAAACCTATTGAGGCAATAACTGGATAAATAAATTCAAAAGACATGACAGCAGAGGCTGGCAGGAAATGGGGAACTAGCAAGCAGTTCAAAGAAGAAGAAATGTCCTTGAATGGATTGTGGTGATGGTCGCACAATTCTTATGAAGCATATGATGTATGGATTATATACCTGTGAAATTGTTTAAAATAAAGTAATTTTAGAAGTTATTTTTTAAAAAGAGTATGGGCCTGATACAATGGAACATTTTGAGACATCTCACGGACTACTTAAACATTGCATAATGATAGCAAACCAGTTGCATAAATGGAGGATAAACTGTGAAACCTGATGCAACATGGTCCAGTTGGTGGGGAGAAGAAGGGGTAAACTCAGCCTTTGAAATAATCAAACTGGAGTTCAACATGGATGCTCCACCATTTCCTACGTGGTATTAGAAGGTTCCTTCAGCTTTCCAATTCTTTTCCTTCTTATGAAATGGGAGTGTTAACTCTTTCCTTGAGTGAATGGGAAGATCTAATGGAATAACACATATAAAAAGGACTACACAACATCTAGCACATATAAAAGCTCAATAGTATGTTTGATCTCTCAAGCCTTTCCATTCTCTATTTTATGGTATTAATGTATGGGCAAGAAATGGAAGTTTGATTGTTCCATAACACCATCTTTCCCCAAGGCTTAGATCCTTATGCTTCATTTTTTCATTACTCCAATAATATTCCTTACATTAAGATATTTTGATTCACTCTAAGAAATTAAATCTGAAACTGATTGATGTCAAGTTACCAATACACATTACTGCTCCCAGAGGCCTAAGCAGATTTACATAACAAGTCAGTAAGGCTAGTCTGCAAAATACTCAAGTAACATCATAAACTCGGTGTAATCAAATGCCTGTGTCAAACTTCTTTTCAAATATGAGCTTCAAGCTGTCATTGACATATAGCCGTAACCTTTCCTTTGCTCCCCCAGTGGAAGCAAGTGCCCTTTTTCTTGGCACTCTTTCTGTAACATTCTGGGACAAACATCTCGTACACGGTCATTCCATTTCTTAGAACACTGTCGTCGAGCCGTCCTCTAAGCAGTAAGATACTACTTTTCCTCCTCACTCTGAAAGCCTTCCCTTGCAAGACCAAGGATTCGCAACCTCTCACAGTAAAGTATCCTCAAGTCAAATATATTTAAGAAAGCAAGGAAGGGGGTGGGCAAAATCAGTGCTTTACAGGAATTATTCTTGTTGACGGTCTGTTTTAGAGCATAGGCCCGTTGATGTTTTCGCTGTTGTTGCTCTTTTTAACCTGTACCACAAATGGCCCTTTCCAAGTTGGGCAAAGAATTAGGGGGTTGCTCAGAGTAGCTCTGTGGCCTTTCAAAAGCTCCCTTTGCCTCATTTCTCCCTGAACATGAACTTTGAAGTAAGGAAGAAGGAAGCAGCAAGACAGGTTTAAGAACCGGAAACGAGTGTTTGTGTAACTGCTGTAGCTCCAACTTTATTTCTAGCTCTGAGGTACTAGCATCAGAACCCACTGAGACTTGATATCACAGGTTTATTAAACAACTTCCAGCCTTGGGCTAAAATTCTAAAGTTAAAAAAAAAAAAAACACCTTAAAAAAATCTATAAACAGAACTTTGAAAAACAAACCCCCAAAAGTCTATTTCCTAGCTACATGATTGTATATTTAGAGTAAACCTTGTTTTCCCAATGCATATATATTTAGGGGTAAGATCCATCACAAAGTTTCATAGAGTACCACACGCTTCCTGTGTGGTCGATTGTGTAATGCCAGACTAGGGAGAAGAGCTGAGGCCACACTGTCCAGAATCTCCTTGTGCTAGCTTATGCTGCCATCTATAGAGCATACACAGTAGGCATTCTTTTTCAACATTTTTCTTTCTCTTTTATTTCATATATTGTATATTTGTAAATCCTCCTGCAAAATATTTTTTTATACTTTTATTGAGGGCTCTTACATCTCTTATCACAATCCATACATTCATACAGTGTGTTAAGCACATTTGCACATATACTGCCATCATCAACTTCCAAGCATTCTCTTCCCACCTGCACCCCTGATATCAGCTCCCCATTTCTTTCCCTTACCTCCCCCCCCACCCACCCTCACAAACCTTTGCTAATTTTTAAAATCATTTCATTAGAGGCTCATACAACTCTTATCACAATCCATCCATCCATCCATTGTGTAAAGCACATCTGTACATTAATTGCCCTCATTATTCTCAAAACATTTGCTCTCCACTTAAGCCCCTGGCATCAGCTCGTCAGTTTTCCCCCTCCCTCCCCGCGCCCTGCTCCCTCATGAACTCTTGATAATTTATAAATTATTATTATTTTGTCATATTTTACACTGTCTGACGTCTCCCATCATCCACTTTTTTCTTGTGCATCCCCCAGGAAGGAGATTATATGTAGATCCTTCTTATTTGCCCCAACGAAACATGTTATTTACACTACCCTGGCAATCACAAGAGGTTGTATGCTAGAATGAAACCATCTGCTGCCATATTTCACCCCCAATCCTTCTCCTCTAAATCCACACAGCTTAAGACTTGCTCGGGAAAATTTTCCAAGGATGTGACTAGAACAGTAAAAGGGAAGAAGGACAAGTGAAAAGTAAACTGACTCTGCTCAAGTCCACTCCAACTCATGGAGACTCAAAGCATCAGCGTAGACCTGTGCGCCATGACAATGGCCTTCTGTTCTTGCGCATCCTTGCATCCAAGAGGACAAAGAAAAGGCGCACCAATGGCCATGTGCAGCCCCTTTGCAGCACAAACTGCATCCAATGCGAGCGCAAAGACAAGGCCATTAAGAAAGTCGTAAAAAGAAACACAGTGGAGATCGCAGTCAGCACAGGCATTTCCTAAATAAGCATCTTCGAAGCAAACGTGCTCCCCCATTTGTACATGAAGCTATATTATTGTGAGAGTTGTGCCATTCACAGCAAGGTGGTTAGGAACCAGTCACCTGAAGGATGGAACACACACACACACACACACCTCAATTGAGATCTGCAGGTGCTATCCCACAACGTTTTCCAAAGCCTATGTAAAGATTAGAATCTGAAGAAAAACAAACCTGCAAGAAAATAAAATGGAAATTGTTCTTTTAAAAAAAAAGCCTTTTTTCCAAGGTGTCCCTCGGTAGAGTGAACCCCCCAGTCTTTCATTTAGCATCACCCAGGAGACATGAGGCTTGGTAAAGCGGAGGGGCAGCAAAAGAGGGGAAGGTCCTCAACGACATGGGTTGCCACAGTGGCTACCACAATGGGCTCAAAGTCATGAAAAATTGTGAAGCTGGTGCACAGATACGGTGCATAGAATTTGCTCTGAGTCGGAACCTCTTGAAGGCACCTAACGACACAGCAACAAGCTCTCTGGGACAAGTACACAATCCATTTAAACTACTTTTGTGATTTTTCTGGTGCACAAAAGACCTGATCTATAATAAACCCTGCCAACATAATACAGAGTTTCTAAATAGAGACTGATCTGTGTTCTCAAACAGATGTGATTGTCTAACCATTCACCATCAAGCGTCAGCTCCCTCAGCTTACAACAGTGAGATGATAGCATAGACCCAAGCCATGAAATACAAAGTAAAGTGAACTCACTTCGCTGCCTTCCAAATCTGATGTCTTATCACAGCACTCTTCGTCTTCTTTAACTGTCTCAGCTGGTGTCTAGGGAGAAAATGCACCATGTTCTAAATTTAGTTATACTCAACCTGTGTCAAACTGCTGTAAATGCGCAGAATGCTACTCTCTCGGTTTTACGCTCTTTCTATGGACAGACAGAGACTTTCATTGCAAAGGGAACAGACTTTGAAGATTTCAGGGGTAGGGGAGCAAGGGAGGGAACTTGTGTGAAATGGAAGAGAGGGGTGCACAAGAGGGAAAAGAGAAATCAAGGGGCCAGTGAAGAGTAAATATGACAGTGGGGGCTAGGGGGGGCAATTAGTAATTTAAATTGCTGAATACAAAGTTGATGATCTGACACATAAAACCAAACCAAACTCACTGCCATCTAGGCGGTGCTGACTCATAGCGGCCCAATAGGGTAGGTTTTATGGGAAGGGAAAACCTTATCTTTCTCTCATGGAGAAGCTGGTGATTTTGAACTACTGACCTTGGAGTTAGCAGCCCACCATGGAGCCCCTCTACCCCACCAGAGCTCCACCTACTGCACAGTAACAAGTGTTATATTTTAAAAGTCACTGTATCCATTTATACTCAACAACCTTACCTTTGGCCCAATTAAGGAAATTCTAATCTACTTGATACACTTGCTGAAGATGTCTCTTTTGTGTGTGTGAGGAAAAAAGGTGGTCAAGAGGGCTTGGTGACTCTATGTGTCCCTGATCAGCAGTTAATAAATGACTTCATCATTCTCAGCACACCTCAAGGTTACCAATTAGGGCACTCCGTTTTTTAGGTTCAGGAAACACCCTCCACAACCTGGCATATTTCATTCCCATGCTTTTTTTATTATTCTTGCTTATTATTTCCCAGTTTGTATTATTTCCTGGACAGGTGCAGATTACCCATAAACACAGTAAGCAAGAGGTTGTGTTTACTTACTAATCTATTGTGAACCTTTCACATTAATCTGTGAAAATTTTGTGAAACTGTTACTACAGACTCATAAGTAAGCCCATGCTTATTTTGAACCCTGGGTACTTCCTTGGAGGTCAGAGTACTTAGAACCTGACCCAGGCTAGCCTGCCAGAAGTCCAGCATCCATCATCTGGAGGCATTAAAGTCCATCTCAGGAGAGATCTACAAAGCAACAGGACAGACACCTGCCCTATCCAGATCAGTTCAGCCCCTGAGAAAGACAGCCGCAGACTAAGACCTGAAGCAGGGGACCAAGGCAAATGATGCCTTCTTCCCTCTGATCCAAGGTGTACAGTTTTCTTGAGAAGAGTCAAGTGGGATATAGAATGGAGCATGCACAAGTAGCACTCTTCAGGCCCTGGACTGTGACTACTGGCTTTTAGGAGTTGTGTTGCTTCAGCCTTTTATTTTTTCTTTCTGTAACACAATTATTTAAAACTTCATTTACTCAATAAGGTAATAAGTTAAATGTTTTAATAGTAAAAATTTTAGGACTGCACTGGGCACTGAGTTCAGAAGCAACCAGCTGCAAACACATTTAGAGGTTTGTATCCCCCACCCGACACTGGATACTATAGCCCATGCGGACATCCTTTTACTGCATGGACCGATCCCCCAGCAGTCTTTTGGTTTTTTTTGTTTGTTTTTGTAATTCAATTAATTTTTTTTAGCTTTGACTTTGTGTGAGAATCTGAAGGTACAAAATAAGAGATAACCTCTTCAGAGAGCTCACAGCCTAGAAGTAGGAACAAGGCAGAAAGTGGCCATTGCAAATTATTGTAAGGATGTATTGATAAAGTGGCAAGGGAAATGGGAGAGTAATGCACAGAGAGTTGTGTGAGGGAGGGACTCACGGAAGCATCTTGGAAGCAGAACTGTTAGAGTACGTAGTGTCCCGGGCATGACTGCTACAGAAACTTGTGCACAAGTTTCAGTTCAGGAAAAATAAGTGAGTGATTTTTACTTTTATTCAAAATGAAAAAGTATTAATCCTTGTGGAAATACATTATACTATAACAATTTCCGAAATGGAAATATATTTACAATATATTTGTTTTAAATGTCTGCTCTGGTTATGGTTCAGCTCCAGGGCACCATCCTACAGAATCAACTACGCTTTTCAAACTTAGTGTTTCACAACTATTTCATCTGGGCGCATTTGAAATATTGGCACGTAGGTGGCCACATGGAATCTATTGGCCAAGGTTTTTCATCAATGTCAGAGTATCTCCCAGGAGAGGAGGGGAAGAGCAGTCTAGGCATGGGAACAGCATAAGCAAAGGCACATGGAAAAGCCAAGTGATGAGTGGGAGTAACAAATAGTCAAGCCAAGAGTAAAATAAGGAAAGGCAAGCAAGACAAGAGGCTGACAAAGGCCTAATCACAAAGGACCTTATTTCCATATGAAGGTCCTTGTTGGGCTTTATCCAGAAACAGCAGAGAGCCATTAAGAGTAATTGAACAGCAAAGAGTCAATTTCTCTTTGGTGGGCAATGTGGACAAGGATAGATTGTATTGGAGTAAGGGACAACTCTACCCTTAACTCCAAGCTATCAATATCTGAAAGACTCACAGCTCCCCAGTAGGACCCATCCAGTCAGGGACTATAAATTTGGTCCATTCAGGCAAATTCGTTGTCATAGATTGATAAAGCAGAAGTAAACATCTTTCTGGCATTCTCTACTTTCAGCCAAAATCCATCTGTCATCAGCAATGACATCCCTTGTTTGACATCTTCTTCTCAATCTGGTCTACACCTCTGGTAGCTCCCTGTCAATGCACTACTGCAAACGTTGTTGGGTTATTTCAGTCACATTTACTTGCATGTCAAATCAGTGACATTTTCTATAATTTGAGTATTCTATTGGGTCACCTTTCTTTGGAATGGATTCAAATATGATTCTCTTTGAGTCAGTTGGCCAAGTAGCTGTCTTCCAAATTTCCTGGCATAGAGGAGTTAGTGCTTCCAATGCTACATCAGCTAGTTGACACATATCAGTTGGTATTCCATCAATTCCTAGAGTCTTGTTTTTGACTAATACTTTCAGTGCAGCTTGACTTTCTTCAACGTTATTAGTTCTTGCTTATAGGCTACCTCTTGAAATAGTTAGCTATTGACTATTTCTTTCTGGTACAATGACTGTGTATTCTTTCCATCTTCTTTTGACACTTCCTGCATCATTCAATATTTTGCCCATGGACTCATTCAATATTACATTTTAAGAGTTGAATTTTGTCTGAGCTCTCAGTTTAAAATATGCTGAATATGCTCTTCCTTGTTGGTTCCTACTCTAGGACTGTGCACATTTCATTCTAATTTTTTACTTCCTCTTCTTGAGATCTGCTTTGAAATTTTCTATTTAGCTTTTTGACTTCATCATTTCTTCCATGTGCCTTAGCTATTCTATGATTACAGTGGGGATGGGGGTATAGAGGTACAAAGGAGATAATGTCAAGGAGTCCAGGAAGGAAAATAATGTTTGGAAACTGATTGTGGTAGCAATTATATAATACTGCTTGACGTGATTGAACTATAGAATAATGTGATATATGTATTAACTCCCAATTGAAAATATTTTTTTTAAAATAGGGAGACATCAGACAGTGTAAGATATGACAAAATAATAATTTATAAATTATCAAGAGTTCATGAGGGAGGAGGGAGCAATGAGGGAGGGGGAAACATGAGGAGCTGATATCAAGGGCTCAAGTAGAAAGAAAATGTTTTGAGAATGATGATGGCAACAAATGTACAAATGTGCTTGACACATGGATGCATATATGAATTGTGATAAAAATTGTACGAGCCCCCAATAAAATGATTTAAAAAATAAAAAATTACTAAGTTTCCAAATCTGTTCTGACATTCAGTCTTATCTTTCCTTCTTGTCTTGTCTTTTTAATGACCTTTTACTGTCTTCATGAATGATGTTATTGGTGTCCTTCCACAGCTCATAAGGTTTTCTGTCAGTGTTCAATGCAGCAAATATGCTCTCAATATTCAGGTAGGATAGACTCAAGGCCACATTTTGGCTCTTGGGGATTTAGTTTAATTTTCTTCCACTTTAATCTGCACTTCTACAAAACCTCAGAACAGACCCTACATATGATGGTCTGTTCCAGAATCGGTCACTGGCCTGATTTTAGCTATTGATATAGAGCTTCTCCACCATCTCTTCCTACAGAAGCTATGAGGGTTATTGGATCCAAAGCATCATTAAAGAAACCAACCTTATTAGGAGGATGGACATTTTAATCTTGAAGAGGAGAAGCTTGATATAGATCAAATTTTCAGGTCATAGACACCTGGCAAGCTTCTCCTATGCAGGCTGTAGCTTAGGAAAATCTATGAGGTTGTTCTACTTTGTCAGACAGGATGTCCAAGAGCCAAAACTCACACAGCACACCACCAATATCCAACACTGATACTAATACTAATCCTCAAAGCAGTCCTCTACCTTGGTTCTTTGCTTTAAAAAAAATCCCACTCTTCTTCAGATATTACTCATATAATTCAGGGGAGATTGGGCCTCTCTTCATACATTAAAGAAAATGTCCACTAATCTAAGTCACCATAGATTAATTCCCTTTCCTTAGTGATAAATATTAATAGGCATAAACATATGCTGAATTGCTGAATAAAAATAACCACAATACATCTGCTGGCAATCTCCAAATCACACAACCTTGCTTGCTGAAAGTGAGGAGGAATTGAAGCACTTGTTGATGAAAATCAAAAATTAAAGTATGGATTACAACTCAATGTAAGGAAGATCCAAATCCTCACAGCTGGACCAAAGGTAACAATGATAAATGGCGTTTATCTCACTCATTCAAAAAGACCAACCAACCAGCCAGGTGCCATGAGTCTCTCTCAACTCATGGTGTCCCCACATGCATCAGAGTAGAGCTGAGAGTTCTGCTGGGGCTTTTACTAGCCTTTTTATTTTATAAATAGATCACTAGGTCTTTCTTGTGGTGCTTTTGGGTGGACATGAAGCTCTGACCTTTCAGTTAGCAGATTAATTATTTGTCCTGCCCAGGGACTCCTTCAAAAAGACTCCTGG